CTTAAAAGGCAAAGCGACATTTTTGCTGATTCTTTTATAAGTTACTGGCATGTTATAGTATCTCTGCAAAATGAAAGAAGCAAACAGATATTGTATATTCAGCTTTTAAGTTTGAAGGCTATTTTTGGTGAAGCAAACCCATAGCCTTACTTATAGTGAGAAATATGAAGGCAAGTTTTTCAGCTATTTTGTGAAATTTATGTTGAAGTTACATTTTACTCTGACTAGCAATATCTAGGAAGAACTGAACCTTTTATAACTTTGGTTGGAAAAAAATGATAGATACATTCTCTTTTATGGCTGTAATAAAGGCCTTTGCCAACACAAAGAATGTGAATATGTTTGCTTTCCAGGGATGAGATAAAGAGGATTCTTACAGTTTCCCCCAAGGGGTACAACTTCCATGGGGGAACACCTTCCATTACTCTAGTATGAGACCATAATACTAGTACAAATTGACACTAGTACAATTCCCTGATCTTATTTAGAGTAAATGATTTAAAAACAAAACAAAACAAAACAAAAAACAAATAAAGCTATGTTTTTAAAGTCACTGAACCAACAGTTGATTAACTATCAACATACTTTCCATAAAACTAACTCTATCTCCTGCAAATGTCTAAAGTGTGTTTAACATTTTACAGGTTCAGGGGATTTTTCTTCTCTTCTACCTTCCCTTCCTACCTTTCCCATGTTCTCCTCTTTCTTCTTTTCCTTAAATTACCACAAGCAATTATGACAGTCAGAAAAAACTGCTTTAGATATTTTCTGATATACATTTATGTCATTATAAAGCTGAGAGACAGATTATTCATGGAAAAGATTTCAGAGACCAGACTTCATAGAAAAGGAATAATTAAATCCCTGTGGAAGATATTTTACCACCTAACAGAGTGCCAAAGCCCTTAAGATGTATTACGTTCTTACTTCAACATCAGACATAGGGTCTGATGTCCTCTTGGTTGAAAACTTAATGGAAGAAAAATAGTAATAAAATTTGTCTCCATAGAAATGATCATATATATGCAAATAAGTCTTTTTTAAAAAGGGAATGGGGCCAGCAGGTGGCGGTAGTGGTTGCATCACTGAACTCCCGCATGGCCGACCACGGTTTGACTGCTATGCAGGCTACCTGATGTTGCTTGTAGGTTTTTGTTTTTTTTTTTCAATTATTGCCAGAAGGCATGTACACCTGAGAGAGAGAGGAGAACGCACCTCCCAATGAGGTGTGGTCACACTGCAATCCATTTTCCTTGATTTCACCATCCTGTACAGATTTTGCGTATACACACACACACACATACCTGACATGTTTTTTAAGTCTCCAGAACAGGGATTCGAACTGCTATAGGCCATAGTGATCTGGCTCTCTATGCACAGTGCTTAAACACTATACTAAAGAACTGGCCAGGAATCTGGGGTTTATGCTTTGTTTTGTTTTTAGTAGAGATTTTTGTTATAGGGCATTGCATTTGCTGGAAAGACAGAGAGAGAGACAGAGACCAAAAGCAAGAAATCATCCCCCGGGGGGATGGCCACATATAATCCTTTCTCCTCCTTTCTCCTCTAGAGATTTTGGGCCCATACCACATGCACCCAGCATGAGTTTTAAACCACTGCATCCAGAACTCAAATTGCCACATGGTCAACTACCATGTGGAAGTACAACAACGTTATCATTAGCCATCTGCTGGTCCCAAGGAATTTGTTTCGATGTGCTATTTTTTTAATGTTGGAGAGAGTACTAATGTTGAAAGGAAAGGGAATTCCTTTGTAAATATCTTCCTTAAGAAGATGGCTTTGAGCAGAAGATTGATCTCACTCTTGCCTTTGTAAATTGGACACTAAGAATCAATGCCAGGCCATAGTAGCTGTCCATGTGACAACATGGCCCCTTAATGAGAAAAAACTTGGTAGCTGAAAGGACTGAGTAGCAGTAACATATAAAGTAAGAGAAACCGACAGAATTAGAAAAGTAATAAGATGTCTCATTGAAGTACCGTGGTGAACCTTGAAGGGTTTCAGCAATGGATGAAGAAACACTCTGGTTATGGTTACCATAGATTGCAATGGGCAGAAGAGTCTTCAGGGAGATCCTTTAGAACAAGATTGCAGTGATCCTGGTAAGAGATAGTGGCTGGGCCCAAATTATGCCAGTGGAGATTGAAAAAAATGAAACCAATTTGGAATAAATCTGCTGCTGTGGTAACTGAATAATAGAGAGATATATTGCAAAATGTCTCTGATTTTTAATGTGTATGACCACTTAGGTGTCATTCAATGATATGAAAAAAAATGTATTTTCTAAGAAGATAAAAGAGAAGACTGATTTTTGGTGAAAAAAATAAGAACTCAGCTTTGAACGTGCTGAGTTTGTGATGGCTGTGAGATGCCTATGAGGCAGCCTCACTGAGATGTTAAGTATTCCATTGGAAAATGCTACAATTTGAATGTGTACCCCAAAATTCATGCACTGAAATCTGGTGAGCCATTGTAATGGTTTTGAGAGGGTATCAGGGTAGGGACTCTATGGGTGGATACCTGTATAAGGAGACAGAGTTGCAGGGGCAGACACACATTCTGCTCTTGGTCTGTGTTGCCATTTGGTGCCCTGCACTGACTCAAGTCTATACCAACAAGACCAGATTCAGCCCCTGACCTTAGACCACCAAAACCATGAGCTAAATAAGCCTGTATTCTTTATAAGTGATCCAGACTCATGCATTTGTTTTATTGACAACAAAAAAAACTAGACCATAAGTCAGAAGAGAAGTCTGGGTCAATGATGGAAACTTGGGAGAGAGTTCACTGTGTTGGTTGCAGAACTAGTAAGTCATTACAGAAATGAATGCAAAGTAGTCTGTTAGCCAAGTGGAGCTCACTGGTAGCTCTGCATAGGCAATTTCGGTAGTCCGATAGAAGAGAAGTCAGATTAGAGTGTGCCACAGAGTGAATTTGAGATAAGAAAGCTAAGAAAGCGCCCATTGCCTGGGAAGGGAAAGAAGCAAAGAAATAGCAAATACCAACATGAATGAGTGAAAAAAGACAGTTTCTTTAAAAAGATAAGAGGGCTATGTTTGGTGGTGCAGAGGTAATGCACTGTTCAAGTGACACTGGATTCACATGGAAGATTGATGGTTCAGTTCCCTGGTTGAAGTAGACATACAGAGACCATGCACTCATCATCCCGGCTAGCTGAGTTGGGGGTGTGGGTGTTGGGTGGGGGATGGCATGGGACTTTGTTGAGAGTGCTTGTCTTTCTGTCTGTTTCTTTCTCTTACTCCCATGAATTAATAAACTTGGGACTTGCAGTTGGTGTAATGGCTATGTTGCTGGACTCCCATGTAGTCAACTGCGGTTTGAGTCCCAAACCCGGTGGCTTAAACTCACACTGGGTGTATGTGCATACATGCCCAAGATCCCGAGAGGAGAATAGAGGAGAAGGGATTGTGGCATGGCCACCCCCCCCGGGGGGGGGTTGATTTCTCGCTTTCTGTCTTTCTGTCTCTCTCTGTGTTCTGGTGAATGCACATGCCCTATAGCAAAAACCTCTCCAAAAATAAATAAATAAATAAATAAACTTAAAAAAAGATAAACACTAGATATGTAATTCTTTTTTTCTAAAGAATTATTTTATTTAACTTTATTTATTTATTTATTCATTTTAATTTGACCAGAGAGGGACAGAGACAGAGAGAGAGAGAGGGAAAGTGAGAAAGCAAACTGCCAGGTCTGAGACTCGAACTGCAGTAGGCCACATGGGAGTCCAGCATCCCTAACTACCATGCTACTTGCCAACCCTAGATATGCAATTCTTAACCTTGATTATACATTAGAATCAGATAGGGAAATTTTTAAAATTCTATTACCAAGATCTTTCTCAATTTCAATTAAATCAGAACTTTTACAAGTGGGCCCAGACATCTTTGCTTTTTAATGTACATAGGTAAATCCAGTTTGCAGACAAGTTTGAAAGTCATTGCACTGAATGTGCTTTTATTTATTTATTTATTTTTCCAAATGTGCCTTTTTTTTTTTTTTAAGAGGTTTTAGCTATAGGGCATGTGTGCTTACCAAAAAGACATAGAGACAGAGCGACAGAGACAGAAAGCAAGAAATCAGCCCCCCGGGGGGGATGACCACACCACAATCCCTTCTCCTCCATTCTCCTCTCCGGATCTTGGGCACACACTCACACATGCCTGGCGGGAGTTTAAGCCACCAAGTCTGGGACTTGAACCGTGGTCGACTACATGAGAGTCCAGCAGCATAGCCATTACGCTAACTGCTAGTCCCCGAATATGCTTTTAACTTACTCAGGAGGTGCATTAAATTGCAGATTTGGTTTCAGAGGTCTGGAGTTGGACCCAGGGTTCTGAATTTCTAATATGCTTCTTGACTATGCTGCTCTTACTTCAGGAACCTGCAGTGCACTTGAATAATCAATATAGAAAACGAAATAAAAATACTGAAGGAATTTTGCATACTTTGTATGCAAGGTATGCAAAGTATGCAAGTATGCAAGGACCATAGGATGTGTTTTTGATAAGAAAAGGCATATAAGATATGAAAGATGAATTTTTATTAAGAAAAAAAAATGTGAGCCAGTAGATGGTGTGGTGGTTAAGGTGCTGGATCTCACATAACTGACTGCACAGTACAAGTCTGAGACCTGGGAATAAGTCACAAAAAAAGGTTAAAGACACAGGAAAGAGCCTAACTGAAGAGTGTGAGAAAGGATGTGTTGCCAAAACCTTATAGGGGGACTGGTCTTGAGCAGAAGGAGAGACAGAAGAAGGAGAATATGACTGGTTTCTATATAGAGTGGTCTGAAAAATAAAATGGTCAGCGTTTCCCTTCACAAATCTCTTCTTTTTCTTTTTTGTCTTCTCTGCATCCTCAGATCAATCTCCTTCATAGGGCCATCTCCCCTTTATAGAAAAGTTAAAGGTTGTGTTACCCGAGGGTTGAAGAATCATGGTAGGGCATTCATCTCTTACATGTACGTTTTTCCAGAAGAGGCCAGAGGATCACCTCTTCCCACGGGGACGTAGTGAGACAGCTTATGGTTGGTGATTTTGAGTCTATAAACAACTTCTGGAAAATCTTCGTGTTCCTTCTTTGCAAGGCTAAGGTATTCCAGGTCACTGCGGTGGAACTGAACCTACAGATGAAGATTATATTTGTTGGCCTCTGGAAGGGCAGAGTTAAAAGGCAAGAGTTTTCTGGCTGTTAGTCAGAGGAATACTTGATGTTTATGGAACTACTTACATGTCACTATGTGGAGGGCAAATGATTGTCTTTATTCAGGCCAACCTGGGTGGAAATGCACAATTGAGTAGTGCAGGAAGAGGTGAGAAAGAGTCTTTTTTTTTTTTTTTTTTGAGAGTTTGTTTTGTTTTGTTTTGTTTTTGCTATAGGGCGGGTGCGCTCACCAGACAGAGAGAGACAGAGAGACAGAAAACGAGAAATCACCCCCCCCCAGAGGGTATGCCACACTGCAATCCCTTCTCCATTCTCCTCTCGGGATCTTGCACACGCACACACATGTGCCAGAGTGAGTTTTAAGTCACCCGGTCCGGGACGCGAACCGCGGTTGACTACATGGGAGTCCAGCGACATAGCCATTATGCTAACTGCTGGTCCCAGAAATCTTCAAACAATATTATAAACAAACTACCACCTTTCTCTTAGCTGAAGACTTGATGGAAATCTTCTTTCCTATCTCTGATACTATTTGGAGAAAATGAATAGGCAGTTAGTCTGCATCCAGACTATTGTAATAGTAGTAGCATCATTTGCTAAGCACCTAATTACCACATATCAGCCATTTTGATGTGGCTTACTGCAAGGTATCCTTACAGTAACCATATGTCATAGGTACTACTGTTATTTTCATTTTACAAATGAGTAAACTAAGACTTACAAAGGTTAAGGAATTTGCCTCCAATCACAGTAAGTAGTAGAGCCAGTATTTAAACTAAATAATCTGATTTGGACCTTCTGAGGGGAAATTCTTCATATATCTCTAACATTTTTGCATGTCCATATTTTGCTAGCACAGTACTAACTGTCTTTGTTCTAAATTGTATTTTCAAGGATGTCTATTTAGCAAACAATCTTGGGTAACATACACAGTGACTTCCTTGGAGCAAAGGGCAGTATGCTTAGTGCCCAGTATAGAAGATTCCCGTACCTTACATTCACATTCTCTTTATTGTGTCACAACCTGCTGTGTCTGAATGTATCATTTGGCCCTCTTGTGTGTTAGTCAGTTTTGTGCTGTTATTCCTGAATACCAAAGGCTGTATAACTTATAAACAATAGAAGTATATTTGGCTCAGAGTTCTGGAGACTGAGGAGTCCAGGAGTATGGTGAGTGCCTTCTTACTGAATCATCTCATGGTGAGAGGTGAAAGAGCAAGACAGCATGGGAGAGAATGAGAGCAATAGGGGGTTGAACCAGCTTTTGTACAACCCATTCTTTAGATAATGACATTAATCCATCCATGAGGGCAGAACTCTCATGACCTAATCATCTTTTAACACTACTGCAGATTTTAGCTCCAAAGCTTCTTACGGGAGAGACTGAAGGGTTTATTTTTTGTCTGTTTTTGCAAAGGAAACACAGTACAACTCCTTACTCTGCTCAAACCTACTTTCTTCACTCACAGTGTTGATCCTGAGGTCCTGAGGGTCCTCCCAATAAATTTTCAGCACACAACTTCAGCACACAAGTCTTAGAGAATGTTTCCTGGGGAACCAACAGAAGACAGATCTCTTACAAATCATGGTATGAAATAAAAGGTCATATAGAAAATGTGCTCCCAAAGCTTTTTTTTGTGCTTTAAGTCACATTTTCTTGGAATCAGTAGGTTTAAGTAAGCCATTCAAAATATTGCCAATATGTAAACTTGACAAAATAAGAGTTAATTCAAATTTTGACAATTACGATAAAGAAATTATATAGTTAAACAATAAAGTTTGGATAATTTTGTAGTATGTTTACTGAATTGTGTTTTCTGACACATTATTAGACTTATTAAAGTAAAAGGCAATAGAAAAATCATTAGCTTATCATAAAATGCCCTGATGGAAATTTTAGTATAATCGAGTTTCTGTTTTCCCTTGAGATACGAATACTGTAATGTTTCATAGATTATGTAAATGCAACAGTGGGAAGCAAGTCACACCATTTAATGTGTCCAGGAAAAATATATTAACCTTCTTTTCTATAGATGGAGGCAAAAGACCATAAGTCTTTTGGGGTGGAAGCGTTGGGACTTCGTGCAATCTCTTGGCAATACATTTGAAGGGGCAGGTGGAAATAAACACATTGAAACAGGTATCTCACTTTTGAATTGAGAATAAACCAATGAGAGCAAGGAAGTAACAGGGGGCCGGTGAGTAAATACCAGGATGATGTTGCATCACTAATATGAAGGAATTTGACCTTTTGTCAAGTGTGTCATCAGCTTTATTCTCTCTACTCCGAGTTGTATAAACACCACATCTAGAACTAGATCACTACTTTCTTGAGGGTTAAAAGATTAACATGGCTGCTGATTTCATTTATTTGTTTATTCCATGAGAGAGGCAATAGAGAGGAAAAGAGAGACAGAAAGAGACAATCACCTCCAACAAGGTTCTCATGCCATGAACTATTCCTAGTCTCAGTCAGTGAGGATCACGAGCAAGAATATCCAGGATGTACAGGAAGGGCTTAGTACTTGAACTGGGACCTTCCCTTATGGCTTTAGCATTGTGGAGCATTGCATAATCACTGAGCCACCACACGTGCCCAATTGCTGATTGCATACTAAGTGACTGACAAAAAGATCACTACCACCATAACTACCAGGACCAACACTCTGCTCTGGAGATCGTAATTCTTGTTCCTTTGCATAAGCCAATCTAGTTTTTATCATGGAGGGGAAAGTTTAATTTTCAAGCTGTGCTAATGGGGAGACCATTTCTTTCTTTCTTTTTTCTTTTTCTTTTTTTTGACAGGTTTTTGGTATAGGGCGTGTGCGCTCACCAGAAAGAGAGAGACAGACAGACAGACAGAAAGTGAGAAGTCACCCCCCAGAGGGGATGGCCACGCCGCAATCCCTTCTCCTCCACTTGCCTCTCAGGATCTTGGGCACGCATGCACACATGCATCGCGTGAGTCCAAGCCACCAGGTCCAGGACTCGACTACCTGGGAGTCCAGCGACATAGCCATTATGTCAACATCTGGTCCCAGGAGACCAGTTTTTAATCACATAAGAACAGCACTAAAAAAAAACACTACATAAAATGTGAACATTTTTCATGAATAAATGTATTATATTTATAGGTTTCATCCTTGTCATGCAACAAGTTGAACAAAGTTACTTTTAATCAAGAGAATATTATGCAAGTTTCAATACTCAACTCAGTCATGTAAACAAGGCAAGTACAATGCTTTAAAGGCTGCTGAATGTTTAGCTTGGTTGAGATAAATCTCCTATCTAAAACAACAATCTCCATATTGAAAGAGAGGTCCCAGAAATAATAAGTACTGTGAAGACTAACATACAGGTGTATTTGGCTTGAACTCTTACATAGCTTATCAGAAGTTGTGTACAATAAACAGAATTGCATTGTGCTCTAAGCAACGAATATATTGCTTCATATTCCTTGTATCTTATTGTTCTAGTCATTAGACCAGAAAATGAGATAACAGACTGAGCAAGTTTCTATGAGAAGCAGAAGTTCCATCCACAGAAATACTTAAGATGACACTACAAATAATTTTTATTCTATAAAGGTGAAGATACAAAAAAAATACATTGTTAGGGAATTATTTTCCCTGATAGAATAAAAATCTTCAATATCTTTGAAATTAGAGATATACAGGGTTTCTTTTTTTTTTTTATTGTTACCTACAATCATCATCATTGCTCAACAATTTTCTAGCCAGGAGAACACAGGCAAAAGTTTAGCCAGTTGAAATTTGGGCTGCAAAAATGAAGACGGGGTTATTTTGAGATCAACATTTGACCCGAAAGCAAAGTCTAATAGTCTTGTGTGTGTGTGTGTGTGGTGTGTGTGTGTGTAAATTATAAAGAAGTCTTAACAAGACCTAAGATTTCAAAATTCTACACAAGAAAATATGCATGAAGTGCCTAACACAATAGCCAGAATCTGAAACAGCCTTAATCTGTCAGTCTATGCATTTATATACATAGATGGCAAGAGATAATGCCTATCTGTCTGGGTACTACTATGATGGTTACTACTGTGATGGTTGCATGGGGGGCTATGGAAAACTCCAAACAGAATTCTTTGATATCATATCTCATTGCTCTTGTCGTCAGTATTTCTTCTTGACAGATATTTGAGAAACTTGTTGAAGAAATGCTTTCTGGCAGTTCTGGATATGCTCAGGAATCAGTTGGATGTAGTAGAAGCTAGACAGTGTCTCCCCAAAGCTAAAAGAGTAAAACATTATAGACTAACATAGAGGAGAAAGGGTGTGGATTGCTTCTATGTGAGAGAAACAAGTAGGTCAGGACAGTCATGAGTCAGATTTTTAAATCAGGCCCACAAATTTGGATGCATTTATGACACATTGTAATACTTGGCTTTGGGGGAAAGTTTTTTTAAACATCCTGGAGTTTATGAAGAAACCTAGGTCTTCAACTTCCAATGGGTCTTTCCTTCCGTGTTTACCTTCAGAAACAATAGAGATACCAAATAAGGTAAGATTAACCATGGGAGGAGATCTGAAAGGTGCCATTATTCACAGCTTTTGTGAAGCAGGTTCGTGCAAGTTCTATTGTTCTCATGAAGAGGCAGAAGCAACCATTGGAATGTAGTTGATTTTTCTCTCTTGCGCCAGCTAAGTCCCAGTAATAATACTTCACTCATCTGAAGTGAAAGTGACCCCACTTCCTTTCTCTTTCAATTTGTTTTTTGAATGGAGAGGGTGAGTGTGCTCACCAGAAGCAAAGAGACACAGAGAGAGATAAAGAAAAAGAGAGAGAGAGAGAAAGCACCCCCCACTGGGGCATGGTCACATTGTAATCACTTCTCCATTTTTCCACCCTGTTGAGATTTGGGGCATGCACGCACACCTCTCTGGTGTTTTTTTTCAAACCACTGGGGCCAAGATTCAAACTGTGTTCAACCGTGAGTGATCAGACTCCCTTAGCCAGTAGGTCAAAGACTGACCTTCTCTTTTCATCTTGAAACCTCAGGTTTCTTTCTTCATACCTGTGCTACCAAATATGGGTGAAACAGCCATCTGAGCTCTGGTTCTGGCATCTTGGGCATCTTCATGAGAACCTGGTCAATGGTGTCAGTGGTAATGTAGACTTGATCAAGGGAAATACATTTAGGTCACTTAGCTTTAGATGTCTTACCCGTGTACAAAGAAAAATCCATTTTTTGACACTCAAATTCAATCTTTTCCTAGTCCATGAAACAGTCATTTCATATGACAAAAATTTCTTCACAAAATAAAGAAACTCAGTGAGCTATAAGGTTTCCAAATAGTGAGATGGTAAAAAAAAAAGAAAACATTTTGAACTGAGGATCAGGTGAGCCATAATTTAATTTCATCTGTGCCATTTAGTTTTGAAATGTTTTCCTACTCATGCCAGTTCTACCTCTGTGCCTCATAGTTTCCTCATTTGCAAAAATAAAAGTAAGATATTTTGAGCTCTAGAATTATATGATTTAATTGTGTGATTTTTTTCTTTGGATTCTGTACAAACATCTTTCTTGATCAACTTCTAGAACTAGAAATGCATTTTGCATTTATCAAAATCCATAATCCAGTCAATGCAAGTTATAAGAAAAAAGGATTCTGCTAAGACAGAAATCGATTTTCATTTCCGTCTTTTTATATTTCTGGTTGGTTGAGGCACAAAGTTCTTTTTTATTCTCATATGGCTACATAAGACTTATTTGATCAAGGAAAATACATTTAGGTATATAACTGCTAATGAATTAAGAAGACTCGCTCTTATATTGTTTTGCATACATCTATACCCTCTCTCAGTCTAAACTCTACTTTGAATAAACACGGTGCTCTCTGCCAAGGATGAGTAAATCCAGCATCAGCTATGACTATCTTCTCTCACCCACATAGAAGCCCGCAGTCTTTTCCCTTCATGTTTCCCTGTATTGTTTTCAGTCTTTCAGATGTAGGGAGATTCTTTCCAGCTTCAAACACTCCCAAATATTCCCTAAGCACAGCCCGGAAGAGCTAGAAAGACTATCTGTCCAATAAGCTTCAAGGTATTAGTTGGTAAGGGATATTATCTGCAAAACCAATCAAACGCAGTTTCAAAGAATTCTGCTTGGAATTTTCCACAGCTACAATGGAAGCCTGACTGTAGCAAATCCAATCTCTGTAACCAGACAGACAGGTAGTATCTCTATTTGTCTGTAATTTAGTGACATATATTGAGGCCTTTTCATATTCTGAACATTACATTACTTGTACATTTCTTTGCTTAGTCCCATAAGTCCTCATTGCTTAGAAGGTTTAGGTAACTTACCCAAAATTACTCAGACCTTGATAACTCATTGCAAATGTAGTTTTAATTTCATGGAACATTGTCACCTGTACTGAAAGACCCAAACCCCTGAAAGCTGAGTCACTGAGAGTATTCTGAAGAATACTTCTTTTTATCCTTCTCCTAACATGCTTGTTTTATGCAATTGCCACACAAAGTCATGAAAGTATCCAAGGTGAAACTCTAACTGAGCAA